ACGAGCAACCGGAGCCGGGAGTTACATGAACGCCCTGAACGGCCACTTCAAGCTGAGGGCTTCGCCTCGCCGTGTTTTTACACGCCTTAATTGTTCGCTAATAATGCGGAGTTTGGGAGAAGCACGTGGGAAGTACAGGGCAGCCTGGAAAAAAAAAAAAAAGAAAGAAAGAAAAAAAGAAAAACCAACAAAAACCCCAAAGCAACCCCACGAGCCGGCTCGGGTGCTATCAGCTTTTCTCTCTGTTCGGAGTCAAAAGGCTTCACGTGGAAGCGGCTGTTCTGTGAAAGCTCGGGGGATGTGAGAGGGGTCTGGCTTCAGGGAGAGGTCGGCGGGTCAGGGAGATAACGCGCTGCCAGCCTCCAGGACACGGCTTGGAATGTCCCCGTGCGTGTCTGTTTGCTTTGGTGCGGTGTGCGAGGGGCTGAGGGTTCGGAGTTTCTTTACAAGAAGCCGCAAAAAAAGGAGTTTTCGATTTTTTCTGCTCCGTTTCCCCACGGTTCAATCCACCCCCGGCGTTCCCGAAGTTTCCATCACGGGTCCTTCCGGCCCGGTGCCCCCGGAGCTCCCGGTCCTGTTCGGCTGCGGCCCGATCCGAGGTGCGGTGGCGAGCGGCCAGCAGTGACGTGCCCGCAGGGAGCGATGTGTCCGCAGAGAGCCACCTCTGCTCTCCCCCCTCCCTCTCCGTTCTGCTGGATCCCCGAGGAAATGGCCACAACAACTCATCCTTCCCCGAGACAACAAACTGACCCATCCGTCCGTCCATCATCCATCCGTCCATCCATCCATCCATCTCTGAGCCCCTCACAAGGGTACGGCGTAGCAGCAGCGCTCACCACCTGTGTGCTCCCCCCACGGGGGTACCCGAGTCCCGCAGGAAAACCCCAAGATGGGACCTCCGTGTGGGACCCCCGCCCCCCCACACCCTGGGTGCTGCCCACCGGGACACGCAGACCTGCGGCTCTGCGCGCTGCGTGCATCCACCGTGCATGCGGCTGATGAATTTCAAGCAACTCTTTTTTTCTTTCTTTTCTTTCTATTTTTTTTTCCTCTCCTTTCTCCTTCTCTCTCTCTCGTTTTTTTTTTTTTTTTTTTTTTTTTTTTTTTTTTTTTTTGTTCCCCTTTCTCTCAAGCCCTCTCTCTCTGCCTTCCCAAAACTCTCCCCGGTGCAACGCTGCAGCCCGGGGCGAGGGCGGAGGCTGAATGATCCCCGCTTCCAAGATTTTCCGAACAATCCTTAAAGAAGGAAACCTTTCTCTCGAAGTCTCTTTGATCTACGAGGCCTGGCGCGCTGTGAGCCCGAGTGCGTGAGGGGCCCGTCGGCTGCGGGAGCCCCCCAGCCGGGACATGAAAGGAAAAAAAAAGGGCGGCCAGAGTACGGGGATCGACCGAAGGGCTCGAATATTTCATATTCCTGCTAGCTGTCAAGTCCAAAAGCAACAACCCGCCTCCCGCCGGCTGTTTGCAAAGGGCAGCAGCGTGTGTGCGCGTGAGGGGCCGGAGCGCACCGTGCACCGCGGCCGGGAGAAGGGAAGAGGGCCGTAAATTTGCACTTGTAATCAATCAATAATTAACTAATAACAGAACGTGGGCCGAGCGGGCCTGGCGGGACGGCGGCGGGAGCGACCGGATCCCGTGAAGGTGGCTCCCGTGCCTCTCCCATCACCCCACACCCCCATCCCCGAGCTGTTCCGTCCCCATTGCTCTCTCTCCGGGGCCGGTCCCACCGCCCCAACCCCGCTTTCCCATAGACTTTGTACCGGCGGCCAAAATTCCCTCGGGTAAAACCTTGCAAAACCTGCCACGAGCTCCGTTGCCCGGCGAGGGAGGGAGGGAGGGAGGGCAATTCTTCCCTCCCCTCTCCCCATCTCCCCACGGGACCCCCATCCCCGTTGGTTGTCCCCGTGTTCCCCACCCAGGGTCCCCTCGGGGCCGCCCCGCACTGCCCCGGCTGCCCAAGAGATGGCGCCGCCGCCCCGCCGGACCCCCCCGGCGCCGAGCCCCCCCCACCCAGCGCCGGGTCGCCTGCATCAGCCATAAAACCATTGAGGATATCAAGACAGGCGCCAGGTGAGTAATAGACAGGATAATCCAGAGAGATTGCTCGCTGTTTACCTCCATCCACAAGCGCCACAAGAGTTACTCATTAACGTTACTATATACAAATAAGATACACAAGAGATAAAGCCATTTGCAAGTCAGAGTTACACCTGCGGTACACGGATTTCTTGCAAGGGCATGGGGAGGGGGAGGTCAGCGTTAGGACCGTGGAAGGGGGGGATGAATCAATCAGGCCGCACCCCCAGCGCCTAAAACACAACAGTGAGCTCCGGTCCGCCTGCAAAGCGGCTACCTGGTGCCTGCAAAGGGAGGAGGAGGCGGCTGGGTTGCTCAGGATCAGCGCTGAGTTTCCTCTCCGACTCCCAGAATCTATCTCCACTCCCTCCCCCCCCACACCCCCTCACACACACACACCACAACAGCCCTCCCTGTGCGAGAGATTGCGGGGGGACAAGCAGCAGGGGAGGGAAAACAAACAGGCGTTCGTGAAACCGAATGAATGAAAAGAACGATACGGAGGGGGGATAATAGTGTGGAGCTGAAATGTGCCTCTTTGCCGGCTCTAAGGGGAGAAAGTTAAACCACGAAACTGCGGGGTGATCGTACGCCCACGGCGGTTGGTAGGGCCGCTGTGCTCCCCACTCAGGGCCGGCAACCCCGGGGACAGCAGAGGATCTGGGTGACAAGCGACATCCATCTCGTGGGGGTGCAGCCCAGAGCCTGTTTGTTTGAATTGTTGTTGTTGCTTTGTTTTTGCCAGCCCCGACGCCACCTCTCCGTCCATAAAAGCCCCACCTCGCTCCGAGGCACACCGGCACACCGTGGCATTTCCCCAGCCCTCACCTTGGGCAGGCTGGGAAGTGAGGAGAGGGAGCAAAAAACCTGGGGATGGGAGAGATAAAAATTCCGCTCAATTCAAACCCCCGGCGACCTGGCCGATGGTGTGTCCCGGGATTCAAATACACCCCTTAAAATGGGAATAATCCCCCCGAAAGCGAAGGATACGAAATGAACAGGGAAAAGTGCTCGAGGTGCGCGGGAGGGTCCCGCTGGGTGCCTGGCCGATGTGCTCAGCATCCCGTGACCCCTGGAGCTCAGGGGTAGGGACCCCCCCCCTCCCCCGGCAGCCGCTCCCAATCGGAGGTGGGGAAATGTCCCTTTCTGCCGGAATTTGCCCCAAAAACGAGCGGGGCTGGCCGGGCGAGGCGTCTGGGAGCTGCAGCCGGGGGTCCCCCCCGCCCCGCACGGTTGGGCCCGTCGGAGCTGCTTTGAAAATAAGGGGGAAAAAGCTCCGTGGCCGAGTTCCCCCTGAGCACTTATTTCTCTCGCAGGCACAGGACCCAGAGGCCGCGGGCCGAGGGGCAGGCAGAGCATAAAACAGGATCCGGGCTGGAAGTACATCCTTATAATATTTATTACTGGCGGAGGATGAATCACTTTCCAATATACGGGCCACTAACTGTTGAAGGGGGGGAAATCTCTTTAACGAGGAGGAATATATATGTTGTGCTTAGGGATGTGCTCACGGGCTGGCAGCGCTGCAGGCAAGGGGCTGCCAGCTCCTCTCTCTGCTCCCGGTGACCGCCCAGCCCACGTCCCCCCCAGCACCACTCCGCTCCAGAGCTTATTCTCAACGTATCCTCAGCCCCACAGCACAAAGTGGCGAACCCCAGGAGAACCCCCCCGACCCCCGGCCAGGTGCTGACTGGAAGGATCCATCCCCTGCTCGGACAGCGCCGTAACCCCAGCGGTTCGGGAACTCTTTACCTGGAAACTTTTGAGGGAGGGTTCTGCATTAAATTTTAACCGATCTATTCTCCGATTCTTCACTTTTGTTTTATTAATTTATGACAGATAAAAGCATCGCTGAGCCGTTCTCATTAACTTTTCAAACGCCACTTAATCTCGTTCCATTAAAAGAGGTGACTTAGTACCCTCTGGATCCGCTTTAAAAGAAGTGTGTTGGGGGGGGGGAGATGGAAAGGTACATTAAGTAGCTTGCTTAAACCGCGGGTTTCCCCGGCCGAATCGTGCGGGATCCTTCCCCGATAAGCTCCGGGGATTGAGAGGGGACAGCGGGGGGGGTCACAGCGCTCGGTTCCCGCTGCCGGGCAGGTGGGGTGAAGGCACAGCACGGGACGCCCAGCACGTTTCAATAAAAATTTATTTGAAACTTCGGCGAGTTTTTAAAAGAGAGAGAAAAAAGGAAAAAAAAAAAAAATAATAAAAGGAAAAAAAAAAAAAAAAAAGAAAGAAAATACAGAAAGAAAAAATACAGGAAAAAGAAAAAAAAAAAAACTTCTCGACATCGATATCGCACAAAATATCCCTTCATTTTTTTTTCCTTTGAACCAACACCTGACTTTCAAGCCAAAAAAATATGCACCCACTCAAACAAAGACAACAGCAAGCACAGTAGTAAAACTCCATTGCGTTTCGTGGTGGTTGTTATTTTCTCCCTTTGACACACCAAGGAAATGGGAAAGAATAACGCAAAGTGAAGAAATTCCTCCAGCCATCATCTTTTCTTTTGCCCGAGCCGCCTGCAGAAGCCCGTTGTCGCAAATGAACGTATAGAAAACCCTTTTTTTTTGTTGTTTGTTTTTTTCCTCCCGTGGTAGAAATTTGAATCGGAAAGTAGCACTTGAACACCGGGGAGAACGAGGATTGAAAAAGCCATAGCGCGGCACGTCGCGGTTTCTCTCGCTGTTCTCTCATTGCGAGCTCTTTGATGAACGCTGTTTGCTGCCCCTCTGCCTCTTCCAGCCGCGGCTCTTTGCGAGGGGTGAACAGCAAGCGGGGAGCTGAGCTCGGAACCCGCAGGTTCGGCCCGGGCTGCTCTGAGTCGGGGTTGGGATGCGGGGGGGGGAGGGGGGGGAGGTAAAGGAGAACCGACTTGAAATGAAAAGAGAAGAAAACAAAAGACAGCTGCAGCCGTATTTACAGAGATATGTACAACGTCAATAAATTAAAGTTTAATTTCGAGTATTCATATTCCACGTATTTACAAGAGTTATCAAATAATTACATAAATACTTTGCTTTAATAATAGTGTCCGCTTTTTTTCTTCTTCTCAGCGTGTTTAAACCTTGTTATTGCATATACAATGAAAGAGGGAAAGCTGTGATAAACCTACAGTCGAGCTACAGAGGTTTTTAGATAAAATAAATCCATTTCTTTTTTTTCTTTCCAGCTACACTTCTTATTGTTGTTGCTACGGGGAGGGTCTTTAAGGGAGAGGGAAGAGGGTCTTCTTTTCGTTTTTATTATTATTATCATTATCATTATTATTATTATTATTTTGTCCCTGGGATTCGAAACGAGCATCAGAAATAAACAACGAAAACCCAACGAAATAAAAACGTAACCCCCCCCTAAAAAAGCAGACTACTACGGAACATGCAAAAAAAGCCACAGAGTGGCTCTCAGACATCACGATAATATTTTAAACACACAGCTTCCCTTAATATCGACGCAGAGGGCTGTCGCTACCAACCCGCCCCGGAAACAACTGGCGAATCACCGATATGAGAGTTGCTTATACAGTTTTCTTTAGGAAAAAAAAAAAAAATCGCTTTGCTCACTTTCTTTTATTTATACGTCCGTTCGGTGTTTTGCTTCGCTGTATTTCAGGCGTTTTTTTTTTTCCTTTTTTTTTCCTTTTTCCTTTTTTTTTTTTTTTTTTTTTTTTTTTTTTTTTTTTTTTTTTTTTCTATTATCATTATTATTATTATTATTATTTTAGACAGTGAAGAAAAGAAGGGGGGAGGTGGGACACGCATTCCGGCGGCCTCTCGGTGAGGCAGCCCCCGGTTCGGCTCCCAGCCCGGCCCTTCCCCGCCCCCCCCACCCCTCCCCCAGCTCGACACTTTTTGCTGATCAGCGCCCACAAGACGCCGGGCGATTTATATTAAAAATAAAACTTAAAAAAAAAAAAACCAACAACAATAAAATAAAAAGGGGAAAGAGGGGAGGATAGGAGGGGGGGCTGAAAGGCTTGGCGGGATGGAGGATGTGGTTTCTTTCAAACAAAGTGCATTGCGAGACTGGTTTGAAATGAGCTGGCGGCTACGGGGAGCCGCTGCGGGATCTGTCCTGCTTGGGGTCGAGGCCGCTGACCAGGCGCTGGATATTCTGCAGTTCGCTGGTGGCCGCCTCCTTGTCGGCTCCCAGCTTTGGGGACAGGGATACGGAGCCGGAGGAGAGTGTGGACGAGCGGCTGGTGAGGTCCGAGGCGGAGTCCAGAGGCACGGCGCCGGGGCTGGAGGCCAGAGCGCTGCCTTTGGTCTCTCCGGAGGTCGCGGCCAGGGCCCCTGGCAGCGCGGTGGTGAGGAGGCTGCTGCCGTCGGGCAGGGGCACTGGCAACGGGTAGGGGCTGTAGCGGAGCCGGGGCCGCACGGCGTTGAGGAAGGGATGCCGGTGCACAGAACTGGAGGCCGCGCTGGAAGCCGCCGCCGCCGCCGCCATGTAGGTGTAAGGGTAGGGGAAGAGGCTGCCGAAGGGAGACATGGCCAAGCCCTACGGGAGGGGGAGGAGGGAGAGAAAAAGTGTTAGCAGCGCGTGCCCGCTTTCTGCCCCCTTCTCCCCTCCACAACGTGAACCACAAAACCGGGCACGTCCCCCACTGCGGACCCCCGGATCCTCGAAGGCTCAGCCTCGTCCCGCACCGAGGCTGCCCGGGGAAGCACTGAGCCCAGAGTGAGGCACAAGGAGCTGGGGGGGTTCCAGCTGGGCCACTCCTCACCGGCGAGGCTTCCCCAAAGCCTCACACTCCCTTCCCCCCCCCGACCCAACTCCTTATGCAGCGAGGGGAGGTGCCCCGCTTGCTTCGGAGGGGCACTGGGGAACCTGCGGCGGAAAGAACCTGCCCACTTGGGGCCGTCGGGACGTACCTGAGAGGCCAGGACGTGCTGCTGCAGGTGGAAGGGCAGAGCGGCTGTGGATGCTCCCGAGAGTCCCTGGGCCGCCGCCGTGGCCATCACCGTGCTGTCCAGTCCCGAGCCGCCGGCGGAAGCCCCCGACACTGTGGCGAGCAGCGGCCCCATGCCCGCGGCCATGCCGGAGAAAGCCCCCCCCATAGCGAACTGCCCGGGGTGCAGCAGCAGCGGATGCCCGTTCCCCAGAGGGTTGAAGAACTGCTGGCCGGCCAGAGCGGGGGGAAACCCCAGGTTCTGCAAATGTCCCTGGCTCAGATGCGCCGTGCTGTCGGTCTGGACCGTGAGGGGGGCGAAGGGCTCTTTGCCCAGCAGCCGGTTCTCGTCTACTTTAGGGCCGTCCCGGAGGGGGCTTTTCAGTTCCTCGCCACTCAAGCCTCCCCCTCGGCTGCTGGAGGAGATGGTGGCCGGGCTATGCCGGGAGTCCGGGGGGGCTTTTTCCGTCCTCTCCCGGCTCCGGCTCGTCGCCGAGTCGCTGGGGAAGAAGTGACTTTTGGAGGGGCTGCCCCCCTTTTCCCGGGGGTCGTCACACGCGGCCGCACCGGAGCTGGCCGGCGCGGGGGTGGTGGCCGTGGTCGTGCTGATTTTGCCCGACTCGCTGGCTTCTAGCAAAGGGTCGTCTTTGCTGTCGGCATCGCTGTCACCCTCGCTGGGACAGAGATCTGCAAGACAAAGGCGGCCCGGGGCTGGGAGCCGGCACGGCGCGTCCCTAACCCCCGCCGGACTGCGGCAGGGTGCGGACGCTCTCTGGCTGGCTGGTAATTCCAATGACAAAGCTGGGGATCACTTCTTAAGAGAAAAATACGTCCACCCCATCCCCGCCCCGGCTCCCAGTGGGAAACGAGCATTGGTGTCAGCGCACAGACTCCGCACAGCCCGAGGACCCGAGGCCTGCGGTACCGCTCACCTCGGGGGCGGCAAACCCCGCCCGCCCGCCCCGTCGGGGTTCGTCTCCTATCAACTTTTCCGAACTTTGGAGCCCTTTCGACGGTAGAAAGTTGTAGCCTTTCCCCTCCTCGGCCTCCGTCGAGCTGAGGACCCCCCTTATCCTCCTCCCCGAAACGCTTCTCCGGATTCCTCTGCACTTCATCTCCTAATTTCAGCGCCCCAGGTGCGAAGATCTGGTTTGCTTTTCGGGTCCCCTCCCAGCTCCCCTCCCCTCGGCTCGGCAGGACTTTAAACAAACGAGTAAAGCAACAACAAAAAAGAGGTTGTTTCCTCCTCCCTCTGCTCTCCCCCCCCATTCCCCCCCCCCCCTCCCCGATGGATTAATACATGTGAAAGAGCTGCAGACAGCTTCCAACCCCGCACGGAGAGAAAGAGAGGGGGACTTTTCTATAACAAAGTTCGGGACTGTATCCAGGGGAAAGATCCTTCCTCTAATAACAGATTCAGGGAGGAATATTAATGGAGTGACTCCAGTTTTGAACTTTTGCCCCGTGGTCTGTCTTTGCTCCCTTGACTCGGAGCTGACTCCTTTCTGAAGCGTGGAGGGGAGGAAGGAGCAGGAGAGGGGCCGGCAGAGAGGGAGGAGGGGGGGGAAGAGGGAGAAGGACAGAGGAGAGGGGAAGAGGGAAAGGGAAGAAAGTGCAAGCAGAAAAGAGAAAGAAGGAAGGAGGGGGAAAAGAGAAAAAGAAGGAGACTGGGAAAGACAAAGCAAAAGAAAGAACAAGAGTGGGAGAAAGGAATGGGAGAAGAGAAAGAAAAGGGAGAAGAGAGAAAGGAAAGAGAAAGCCGAGGGGAGGCAGGAGGAGGGCTGTGGCCATGGCACAGCGATGCACGCCGAGCTCCGTGCCCCCGAGCAGAACTTGGCTGTCCCTACTGCCCCTATAGGGCCGGGGCTCAGCGCTCACCTTTGAGGGTGGAGGTGCCGACGGCGGGCACGGCGGGGCAGGAGGACTGGGCGAAGCACTTGAAGGCTGTCTGCTCGTTGGACGATTCGTCCGAAGTGGGATTTTCTTTTTTCTGCCTCTCGTCGTACACCCGCATGGACTGCAGAGTCAGCTGCTTCCTGCCGGGCACACGGAGCTGCTGGGAGAGCGGCACCCTGCCCCCCCATCCCAGACCCCCAACACCCCATAGAGATCTCCTCTAAGGGGATCTCATATCCTTAAGGGAGCCCATGGGTGGGTGAGTGGGGGGACAGGGGCAGGGGGCTCGGGGGAATGCGCTGCTCTCAGGCAGGGCCAAGAGCTTGGCTGCTAATGAGAGGAGATTTCTTGGAAGCTGTTAGCAGCAATCCCGAGTACGGCAGATATTAAAGAATAGGAAGGGGGGCTGAGGGGGGGAGAGGGGGGTGGCAGAGGGAATTGTTCCCTGGAGATTAGCTTTTAAAACGCGAGGATGTTCCAGAGATATGAGCCATCTTAATGGTTGCTAAGATTGCTAGGAAGTGGTTATTTTGTTAGGCACTTTATGTAATCTTTTCACCAACAATTAACCCGGAGTAAAATCTATTTATATTTAGAGAGAAATTAGAAATCATTTCCGTCCTGTGGCTCCAGCATTGGCTTTATTTTCACACTGACGGACAAGAGGAGCTGGCATGTGTGCATGTGTGGTATGCTGGGTTCAGTGGTGGGCATGCAGAAAGGCCTCTTGTTTAACATTACAACCCCCCTTCTCCCTCTTTTTTTTTTTTTTTTTTTTTTAAGAAAGAAAAGGAACAGACATATTTATTCATTATCTAAAACTGAT